AATGACATCATTCCTATCGTGAATAGCATGATTCACGACAATCAACTCAAATGATGTCTTGTAAAAAAATAAAAAATTGTTACCATTGATAAATCGCTCGATAACGAACATGACAACTAGTGCAATTGATATTGTGGAAGAAAACCAGTTGCAATTCAAAATGATATACGCAAACGATTGGTAGGCAGATATCGTACTGAACAAAACGCAGTAACTGAACGGTAGCTAGGATAAAGATTTATTCTAATCAACGACATAAAACTGACCCTTCGCTTTCGTAGGACACTATTCAACCCATACCACAAGAAATGCGTTCCCATCTTTCAATGGCAAAATAACCAAAAACAAGCACAACATACCAGCAAAAGTGACACTTACAATTATGAATCGAACTGAGAAAAATACAACGTAACAACGTGAAACTACAATACGCCCATAAACATATTTTGAGCAATCAATGTTATAGATTCAACTTGAATCGTCACAGTTCTACAAATCAGAACTTCTCACTCGTCAGTTTCTCTTACTCTCTTTCAGTCACCTTCAGAAAATTCAACGGGCGCCCGTGAAAACGCACAAAAACTGTTTCGTAACTTTCCATATCACTAGATCTATTTGAGAAAAGACAAACAAAATACATTGGAATTGTAAATGCTGACAAGAAGCTTGAGATGCTAACTGAAAATGCAATGATGAAAGTTTGAAATTCACAATATATTTACAATGTTACATTCATCGGTTACGAATCGGATTAATTTACAATTCGATACATTTCATCGGTGAACAACAATCAGAACACGAACAAATAACCAGTGACTATAACACTGCTTATTGGTCATGATAATTGCATCGCGCAGCATTCATCGTGCTGTACGAAGTTAATTTAAACGTTATCGTATATTCGAATACAAGTCGACGGAAGAAACGATCACAATATGAAGCGCTTAATTTCAGAATGATATATTACAATAACTACGATGATGGTTGTGTGAACAGAACTATTGATCGTAAATGTGCGGATGTAAGGAAGATTGTGATACTGATGATGCGGCGTAAACTCGTAATGAGTTGTAATTGCTGAATAAATAAATAAAATCAGAAGTAGGCTGAATTTTGCCTGAGCAATTCCCAAAGTCATCAATGATCACAATCGCAACTTTGCTCGCAATAAGCTAAATGAGTGTTGACAAGGCAAATAATGAATTATATCAGTTGGTGCCAGAAAGAAGAATACGATTCGTAATACGCGTTCTGCACATGGGACAGTCGTCTAAAGACGTGGCGCACTCCTCACATAAGCACACATGACCACATGGCGATATCAACAGTTTCACCTGAAATCCATTAAAATTTACTGTTTCTTTCTTTAAAACAGTATTGCTACTGTGAATTCGCTTTTGCAAAATGGCGATCGATCGCTTCTTTGATCACCTATGCAGTTGAAGTATAAATGAAATGATAGTTTGGATTAGACTGAATTGATAGTTTTGCAACAGCGAGGTTACATGATGAATATGATTATGGAAATGGATAAATTGGAATAATGAAATAATAATAATAATAAAATTAATAATAGAACATACTGAATTGCTCATACACACAACACATTCTTCTTCATAGTGTGCTCGAATGATCGAACGATGTCCGCTAGAAGGCGTTGGTTGTGATGTTGTGGCAGTGTTCGTTTCTGAGGAACATTCCTCTTCTGAAACAACAGAAAACAATTTATCCAACAGATCTGAAAGAAGAACTGAACATTAAGCAAATTTGAAACTTTACAATGGTCAAAAATTATCAGTGATACAGCAAGTGAATCAGTTCC